GCTTTTTGAACTATCATCCTCAGATATCAGCCTCCTGAGTTGATAGGATTACAGATGTGAGCTATGACTCCTGGCTGAATTAGATATTCTGAACAGCAGATCTCAGGATCTACTTTTCATTATATGTGAAATAAACCTTGGACTTCATTCGTTAGTATTTCCTGACATGCTCTTCTTGAACAGTGGGACATACTATTATTTAAATTTTATCTTAGAATTACCATCCTTATTTAAATGTACTTGTTAAAAAGAAAGTAATAAAAATGAGGATGTCGAATAATGGGCTGGTGACATTGTCCCCCGGGATATGAATCAAAGGAAAGGTACGAAATAGACCTGTGTTCAGAATTGGATATGGAACTGCTTTATAAACTACTAGCTCATTTGTATCTTGTTATAGGAAAGATTAGCAAATTAAAGTTAATGTGTCTGTGAGCTTAAAGAAAAACTTAAAGGCTTTTTCTAAAGTCACTCTTTATTATATAGTTGATTGTGTTGTTGTTCTGGTTCTGCGGCTTGTACTCAGGGCCTGGATGCTGCCCTTGAGTTTATGTGCTCAGGGCTAGCACTCTACCATTTGAGCCACACATCCACTTCCAACTTTTTTGGTGGTTAATTAGAGGTAAGAGTCTCCAGACTTTTCCTGACTTGGCTGGTTTTGAACTTCAGTCCTTAGATCTCAGCCTCCTGAGTAGTAGGATTAAAGGTGTGAGCTACAGGTCCAGGGCTTCAGTTGAATGTTATGATACAACTAAAACCAATTTTGATTCATGTAGTGTGAAAAAACTTTATCGTGTTAATGTAACAGATTTAATATTTCCTGCTTTCAAAATGTGCCTTGCTATCTCAGTTAACATTTTCAATATATCTCCAACCACCCAGGTACTAGTAGCTCACACCTGTAATTCTAACTACTTTGGAGGCAGAGAGAGGAAGACTTATGATTCAAAACCAACCTAAGCAACAAAGGTCCATGACAGTCCATCTCCAATTAACCATCATAAAACTGTACTGAAGGTGTAGTCTAAGTAGTAGAGCACCAACTTTGAGCAAGAAAACTAAGCTAGAAAAGAAGACCCTTCCTTCAAGCCCCAGAATTTATAATAAATAAATGTAAGTGAATGAATGAATGAATAAATAAAGATCCAGAACTGTTTAATCATAAACACCACCATAGTAATATCTGCTGAGATCTACAGTTAAACAAATATTGATTCCTGCACGATGGCAAAAGTTCTTATCTGGATTCAGTTTTTCATTTCATCACTGTATCATTTATTCAAGAGTCATTCCTTATATAGGAAAGTGAAATATAAGGAAAACTCACTGTTACTGCTTCAAATCTCAGTTTGTGGCTAGGCACAGAGGCTCATGCTTGTAATCTTGAGCTACTTATAAGGTGGAGATAGAAGGATAAGCCTTGGCAAAAAACAAAAAATAGGGAGAATTTATCTCAGTTTAACAAATGGGTCATGGTAGTACTACCTATAATCTCAGTTAAATAGGAAGCAGATTTACGAAGACACAGGTCAGAGGCTGGCTGAGCCAAAAAAAAGTCAATAAATAAGTCAGAGACATTATCTGAAAAATAAACTAAAGCAGAAATGGATGAGGCACAGCTCAAGTGGTGGAGTGCTTGTGTAGTGAGCATGAGACCCTGAGTTCAAACCTCAGCACCATCAAAACAAAATGAAAATCAACAACAACAACAAAAATTACAGACCATCATTGGGCTTGAAGTTGGGAGACCAAGAGAAGTAGCTAGGTATGAATAACAATAAGAATAATAGCATCTCACCTGTAATCCTAGCTACTCAGGAGGCCGAGATCTCAGAATCAACGGTTTGAAGCCAGCCTGGGCAGGAAAGTCCATGAAACTCTTGTCTCCAATAAACCACCAAAAAGCCAGCAGTAGAGCTATAACTGAAGTGGTAGAGAATACGCTTGAAGAATAAATGCTCAGGGAAAGTTTCCCAGGCTCTAAGTTCAAGCCCCAGGAGTGGTACAAACAAAACAAAACAAGAACAAAAATATAGACAAGCATAACGTGGCACAGGATTCTAGGACAAACCCAGTATCCTATAATTCTGCCAGAGGAAATTAAGGTATTCCCAGCAAAGACCTGACATTTTATATAATCTTCCAAGATGGAAAGCATTTTCCAGGAGAACATGAAGTGAGACACTTCAGGCGCAGAAAACAGTTACATGAAAAGACCTGGGTGCAATTAAGAGCCAGAAAACTGTCTGCCTTTGTATGGCTTCGGAGCTCCATCCCTCATTCCAGTCACTAGAAATAAAGAACAAGGAAATAAACCAGGTCTTAGGTGCGATCATGATTTCACATTCATTGAATCTTACCACACTAGGTGCCAAGCCTCGTCTTGTTATGCCCTTCCACTACTTAGTGAGTATGTTCTAATTAAGAAGACAACCAAGACAGGGATGAAAACAACATCAAATCGATCGGCTTCTGCCGCCAAAGGGCCCGTGGCTGTCCTCATAGGGATTTATGGATTAACTATAGCATTTTTGAGTTGCACTGGGAAGAAAATTGGCAGCTGGTAGAAACTACAGAGGGCAGATTTATTTTGCTTCAGGCAGCAGAATCCAACTGGGCAGCTGGGCTGCCCATTCTTGTGCCTCTGAATTTTGTGGTATTCTCAGCCCAGCTCCGACTGGGACAGCCAGATATAAACCAGGTGAATGTAGAAAATCATGACATATTTAGATACTATAAAGAGTAGGGTAGAATTTTGTGCATTGTTGTCTAATTCAGTGAGCAATTTAGAAAATAAGATAGCCATTCATGTAATTTCCATACTTTTATGTGAGGTGTGTGGCACACACCTGTAATCCTAGCTTCTTAGGAGGCTGCTCATAGTTCAAAACCAGCCCATTCATACATAGTCATTTGTATGACTATGTATGTATAAAAGTATATGTATATATATATATATATGCATACATATATATATATAGGTAATGTAACCCAGGACATTCTTTTTTTTATCAGTTGTCTTCAATTATTTTAGTCTAATGACAACTATATGTTCCATTGGCAATGTTTGTAAAGTAACAGATAAATTAATAATATAATATCCTGAGTATAGAGCTCTAAAATGAATAGCACACTTTATTTTTGCCTTCAGAATTTACAACCTATAGTATTAATAGCTCAAACAATGTAAGTTATTAATATATATATTTAATTTTGGGTCAACTAAGTCTTGGGTAAAAGACTGACTAATAACTAATGCCACCTTAGGAATTTCATCTAATCTGTGTGCATTTCCTTATATACTTGATTTCTTGCTCATCTTGACTTGATGTTAGATTCCCCCACTTCCCCGCCATGTCAACTGTATTTGTTACTAATGTTTGTATTTTTACTGAACATTAGACTTCTTCAGTTTCTCAAAATTCCTGGGAACTTGGGCAGGCTATATAAATACTCTGAACAACTAAGGACTTGTCTTTAAAATGATGACAATGAGCAAGGTGCCAGTGGCTCACACCTATAATCCTAGCTACTCAGGAGACTGAGATTTGAGAATTGTGGTTCAAGGCCAGCCTGGGCAGGAAAGTACAAGAGACATTTAATCTCCAATTAATGACCAAAAATGGTGGAAGTGGGGGTATGACTTAAGTTGTAGAGCACCAGACTTGAGCAGAAAAGCTAAAGGACAGCACCAGGCTAAGTTCAAGCCCCAATTATGGCAACAAGAAGGAATAGAATAAAAAGAATGATAATAAGACAGGCTCCCTGTTTTTTTTTTTTGTCGGTCGTGGGGCTTGAACTCTGGGCCTGGGCGCTGTCCCTCAGCTCTTCAGCTCAAGGCGAGCGCTCTACCACTTGAGCTACAGAGCCACTTCCGGTTTTCTGGTGGTTTATTGGAGATAGGAGTCTCACGGTCTCTCCTGCCCGGGCTGGCTTTGAACCGCAATCCTCAGTTCTCAGCCTCCTGAGTAGCTAGGATTACAGGCGTGAGCCACCAGCACCCGGCTCCCTGTCTTTTATAGAGGTGTGGGACCAAATGTTTTAGTGCTTTCAAATCTATTAAGTTATCAGCAGCTGAAAGAGGCATTTTATTGGTTGATTATTTTAATATTAGAATTTGTACATATTCTAAAGGCACGTTTGTCTGATTAAGTAGATGTGTGATTCGTTCTTTGCAGAGAGAGAGAACTCACCAAGGAGGTTAAATAGTCCAACAATTTGCATAAGCATCTTCATCTCTCCAAGTTTGGAAGCAGGTGTTAATGGCACCCATAGCCCAGAACTTTGGCACCATTCTCCTGCAGGTCAGGACTCAGGAGCAATGCAGTTTCACATCCTTACCTGTCACCTGTTATATGTATCTGTAGTTAGGTGGAAGATTTCATTCACAAGAAAGATTTCTCATATGTTTGCCACAGAGCCTCTACATAGCAGACTTTCACATCTACTGAGAATTTCACCCTGATTCCTTTCTTTTATTTCATTTGTCGACTATTTCTCTAAACTCTTTGCAGCGAATGACTTTTGAAATGTAAACTATGTGTATACTTTTAGAGGGAGTATATAATACTTCAAAACTGGAGGTCTCCTTAGTTTATATTTCATATAAGGTATAGCTGATAATAATTAAGGTTCAGGTGCAGTTTAAAATACAGTGTCTTCAGAGCTGGGTGCTATAACCCTAGCTCCTCAGGAGGCTGAGATCTGAGAATCTGAAGTTCGAAGCCAACTTGGACAGGAAAGTCTTGGAGAGACTTACCTCCAGTTAGCTACCAAAACAAAACAAAAACAAACACAGAACTGAAAGTGTGGCTCAAGTGGTAGAGCTCCAGCCTTAGCACAAAAGGTTAGGGCCTTTAGTTCAAGCCCCAGTAAGGGCACAAAAAAATAAAGTAAAATTATACACACATATATATATACATATATATATATGTATATATATATATATATATTCTACGAAAATGTATCTTTGAGTAACAGAATTGTATTCCTCCTTTCAGAACACGATGAGTGCCTCACGAACCAGCACAGCTGTGATGAAAATGCTTTGTGCTTCAACACTGTTGGAGGACACAACTGTGTGTGCAAGCCCGGCTACATGGGAAACGGAACCATCTGCAAAGGTAAAGGCTTCGGTGCCACGCCTCTTTCCTTCTGTGTGATGCAGCCCAGCTCCACTCCACTCCATCCCTTCTCGTCAGTGCTCTGTAGCTTCTAGACATTCAGTGATAGAGCTGTCCCACATGGCTCTCTGTTCTTGAGGAAGACCTACTTTATTGTAATGCTCTTGTATCCAAACAGTTCAGTTCCTTTACCCTCAACTCAGCCTAAGTGGTTTACATCTTCTTCTCTAACCAGCAGTTCCATAACAGTATTCTAAATATGTATGTCATGAACTACTCCATTTTAATTTTATTTTAAGTTTTTATACTTTTGGTTAGTACTGGAGCTGAACTCAAGGCCTGGGCTTTCATCTTTAGTTCTTTCACTCATGGTTATAACACTCTTAACACTTGAGCCAGACCTGCATTTCTGCCTTTTGGGTGATTAATTGGAGAGAAAAGTCTCTTGGACTTCCCTGCCTGGGCTGGCTTTGAACTGTGATCCTCGGAACTCTACCTCCTCAGTAGCTAGAATGACAGGCATGAACACCAGCACTGAGTTCACTTTTGAATTTGTAAACTTCAACGTTTTATTGACTAACTCCAACTTCTCTTTCCACCTTCCAATTTTAATTCTTAATTTTGTCTTTCAAAACTTCCTTTCCATCCAGTTTGCCAGTATTCTAACTTCAATTGTTTCTTTTTGAGTCCAAGTATGAATTTATCATGATAACTGTGTTTCTGGCACATTCATTACCATCAAACGTACTGAAATGCTTCCCTTTCAGATCAGCTTACAGTGTTGCTTTTATTTTGCTTTGTTTTTTTTCTTAGCTGTTTCTCATGAGCTTCTGTCACCGTAAAAGATTAATGAACTTTGAGTCTTGAGACTTTATATATTATCACTTATATATTAAAGTTTTCTAGTTGATAATTCTTTTAAGTGTCTTCATGAACTGAGGTTTCTCATTTCCATCAGTAGATGTCCCAATTGTAGGTCGCTGCCATCTATGAAACTATTTTCCTTACTCCACTGGTTTGTTTCTTTATGTAACTTTACCTACTACTTCACAATGGAGCTGTAATTTCACTCTTGGAAATGCTTCCAAATCCCTTAAAAGAAGCTCCTATTCTTTATTACACCATATGATTTGTCTAATTTAGTTTTAAAGCTGCCCATCCCTTAATTGTGTCCTTCATCTTAGAGTTCAATGATACAGATGTACGATGATACTATCTCTGTAGGAAGTAGGAAACATGACAGAACCGTTGCCATTGCAGTGGCTGGAGAGTTCAGGGCATAGTGACTGGTCCATACAATTGGTTGGAGCCAGATGTGTGAAGGTCAGAGGATTAACTTTGGTTTTCAACATGGCATGTAAATCTATCAGGCAGATGTTCATTAGTCAGGCTTACTCATTTTGATTCCCAAATCCCATAAGGATTTTCTTGGAAAAACTAGACAGATAGTGTAACAAAACCCGCAGGATTTCCTTCAAAGCATCTGGATGTTCTAAGAGTCTGTTGGGGTTTAAAAAATATCATCTAGGAACCCTACTGGTTCTTTCTCTCATTTCTGGATGGTTCAGATTCCTAGCTGATGTGAGGGGTCAAGTTTAGAGCAAAAAGAACTCTTGAAATTATGAGCAGATAATTATGACAGATAATTCTGTCATATTTCAAGGGAGGAGAACTTTCAAGCCTCTGAGAAATTATTTGTGAAAGTTAGGATTACAAGTACCTGAATAAAGCCTCTCCGATTTCTGTGTTTGTATCTCTGCTGGGAATGGGAATTAAGCTGAGAGATAAGTAGCTTAGATACATGATGCAAATCACCAAGTTCTGTAGTGATTCAACAAGCTTGCAAAATACTACAGAGATAGACACATGGGCTGGCAGATGTGTTTTTTATTATTTATGAAATGTAAATGCTAACTTCATTTGCAAGTTCTTTGTTGAACCGTGTATGTTTTGAGGTGTGTGTTGTGTGTGTGTGTGTGTGTGTGTGTGTTGGTTCTGAGGCTTGAACTCAGGGCCTGGGCTCTGTCCCTGAGTTTTTGTGCCTGAGACTAGCACTCTACCACTTGAACCACAGCTCTCTGGCTTTTTGGTGGTTAAGTAAAGATAAGTATCTCTGGGACATTCTTGCTTGGGCTGGCTTTGAGCTGGGATCCTTAGATCTCAACCTCCTGAGTAGCTAGGATTACAGATGTGAGCCACAGGTGCCCAGCTCCAAGAGTGCTTTTATATAGGATGGAGTCAGACTTAAGATGCAGGACCAACAGAGACAAATGGCTTCTTTGTGCTCATTCCTTTACCGCTCAACAATAATTTCAAATTCCTCTATTTTACCACCCTAAGAAAGTATATGCCATGATTTCCCTTATTTGCAATAACTAGTATATATCTGAGACAAGCAGAAAAGGTCAGATAAGTTGATGCTAGGGAAATGAACCCAAAGATAAGGACTCAAATGTTTTTTCTTTCTATTGTTTCTAACATATTTATAAGATGATTTGTTTGTTGCTTTGTATGTCTCTCCCCGATGGTATAACCCTGCTTTCACTGTATTTGATGTTGGTATAATTTGTGAGGGGAAGGGAAAAAACATAAATAGGGATACAGGTGGACCCATTGCAACAATGAGATGTACAAGATGTTATGTCAGAAAATGAACTTTACAACTTTGGTGTGAGGGGAGGATGGGGAGGACTGGGGAGGATGATGGGAAGGGATGGGAAGGGGAAACAAAGGAGGAGGCAACAATGCTTGATAAGAAATGTACTCATTACCTTGCTCATGTAATTGTAACCCCTCTGTATGGTATTTTCAGAATAAAAAAAAAGAGAAGAAAAAAGAAAGTATATGCCAGATAATTCCAGGAAACATCTCAAAAACCTAGAGAAAACTTTTTAAAATTAAATTTAACTTTACTGTAAAGGTGATGTAGGGAGGGGTTACAGTTACATAATTAAAGTAATGAGTACCTCTCTTGTCCAACAATGAGTCAGTGCCTAGAAAGAGCAGAGCTAGTTCATTCATAGGCCTGGCCAAGCTGAGAACACGACTCCTGTTCCTCACAGACCTAAACACAAAGCTGGAATGGGAAGAGAGGCAGATAAGGAAGCTCACACTCACCCCCATCTTGTTTCTACCTTCTCAGGTTTTTCTCATCTGTCTAGTTTTTCTCTTTTCTAGGCTACTTTTAAGGCAGCACATCCCAAAATAGCACCCTTAGAATGGTTAAGGTCTTAGATCTTTTTCCTACTTCTTTTCCAGCTCACTTTGATGCATCAACCTATATTCTATGTCTTGACCAGTCCTTATCAGAGCAATGTCAGCCTTCCTAAAGACTATTACAATGACTACATCTTATTATTGGATAGGTTTTTAAAAACTATTTCCACTGGATTTATTTATTCCTAGGACACATTTTATTAAGTATTAGTATTATGGTTTAGCAGATCATTTATCAGAACAAAAAAAATTGCAATTTATTAAACAAAGGTACACATCATTTGAAAACTTAAATGCATTCATTATCTCTAATTATATTAAAGCTTACCATGCTGTCTTCTGTTGTATTAGCAAATGGATTGCATACTGTATCACTACTTTATAACAAGATTCTAGTTTAAATAAAAAAAATTTAGAGAGAGATATGTACAAGATGATAAGGTAGTTCTATACTTAATGTTTTGTGTTGTGGGAAAATCGAGGACATTTATTTTTTAAACAATTGAGGCATTACATTGTTTTAAAGAAGACAGTTTAATTTTTAGAGATGTAGACTAAAATGTGAGTGAGATGACATTATGTCTCAATTATGTCAAAATAACATGGAAATTATAGCAAGTTGATGGCTGTGTGTAACAAGAATGATCTAATCTGTTCATTAATAATACTTGGTCTTGAGTGTGCAAATTTTGTCACAGTGTTTGGTATAGTTATACGTGAGTTCAAAATTCTCTATTTTCAAAATTATTTGTAGATAATACAATTTTTTGTTATGAGACTATTTTCCACTGATACTAGGTTTATTTTTATTCTATGGATATCCAAAAATAAGACTAATGGGTAGTTTTAAGGCACTCAGTCTGGCTTCACACTACTTGAAAAATGGGGGCATTTAATATTTACCACTTCAACCGATGTTAGAAATAGCCAGAGCCTCATGAGAGGCATCATTTCCTATTCCTGGTTTCATGCTGTAGATCGTGTCTTGTGGTCAAAGGTCACTGCTAATGTCTAGGCTTATTTTACAGCTAAATTTAGCTGTACACCTGTGCTGGTACTACTGGGGCTTGAACTCAGGATCTGGGCTCTGTCCTTTAGCTTTTTTGCCTGAGGCTGAAGCTTTACTATTTGAGCCATACTTCCACTTCCAATATTTTGCTAGCTAATTGGAGTTAAAAGTCTCACAAACTTTCCTGTCCAGGCTGGCTTTGAACCCTGATCCTCAGATCTCAGTCTCCTGATTAGCTAGGATTACAGACATGAGCCAACAGAGACTAGCTCTACAGTTGAATATTTATTATGAGATGCAATCTGAATTAATAACTGTCATATTCTCCAATTTTTTGTTAAAAGAAATCTTAATATTTTGTTTTACTGGTGAAACATTTCTTATTTATTCTTATTATTTTTTAAGTAGTAGTACAGAGAAGTTTTAATTCATCATGTCAGTGAAATAAAATGCATCCTCATCAATGTCATTCTTTTCACCAGTCTTGTTCAGAATCATTTCTTTAATATGGTAAAGAGTATTGTTTTGGCCAGGACCCCGGGGCTCATACCTGTAATCCAAACTTCTCAGGAGGCTGAGAGCTGAGGATTGTGATTCAAAGGATAGTCCATGAGATTCTTATCTCCAGTTAACTACCAGAAAACCCAGAAATGGATATGTGGTGGCTCACGTGGTAGAGGGACAGCACCCAAGCCCTGGATTCAAGCCCCAAGTCAGGCACAAAAAGAAGAGAGAGAGAGACAGAGAGAGAGAGAGAGACAGAGAGAGAGAGAGAGAGAGAGGGAGAGAGAGAGGGAGAGAGAGAGAGAGAAACTGTTTTGAAAATCAGATTGGAGTTTCTTACATATATAGAAAATATCATATGAGAATGAAATGATAATACCTTTTATTATTCAATATCCACATCTCCAAGGGAGATAAAGCAAAGCTGGGCTTGGAGATTATGTACTCTTTACTTCTTAAGTCCTCAAAGCTTATTCTGATTTCTTTTATCTGACTGATTCTTGTATGTGGATTCTTTTAGCATTTTGCAAGGACGGCTGTAGAAATGGAGGAGCCTGCATTGCTGCTAACGTGTGCGCCTGCCCACAAGGCTTCACTGGCCCCAGCTGCGAAACGGGTAAGAATAGCATTGGGTCGTTTAGAAAATGAATTTTTATGCCAATGCATAAAGTAATCCAGGAGGAAAATAATGTTTTAGGTTTTAAGTGGGCTCTCAAAGCACAAAGCTATTAATGAGGAAGTAGTGGGAGAGAGAGGGAGGAGGGGGTATGTTTTAGGGGTGCATATTTCTGAGCAAGTCCCCAGAGCTATTCCATGGGGGTTTTGGAGCTATGATAATTTAGCAACATATATTGAGCTGTTTGAGAGGGATGTGTGTGCTCACCCAGGAGCCCTGGACTTCAGAGTTCTTATCACTCATTTGGAATTCATTTTATTGGAGCCTATGACCAAAGCATAGAATTTAAGGTTATAACCAACCTTGTTTCTGGAACAAAGTCCATTTCTTGTTTATATTTTTATGTGGACCATTGATCCATTATTGTTAATTTTCAAAATATAAAGTTCTCTATTCATAAATTACTTTTCATCCAAGTCCATCATAGACTTTGTCTCTCTGATGGATTCTGATGCTAGAAATTTCCAAAAAAAAAATGCCTGTAATCTGGGCTGCTTGGAAGACTGAGGTTGTTGGTCTTTATAGTTTGAGGCCAACCTAGCCAGAAAATTGTTTTGAAGATCCCCTTCTCAACGAGGATTGGGATTCAGTGACGTGTACTTTTGTTCTTAGTTTCTTGGAAGCCTACCCTGGTCAGGAAGTGAGACTGTTACTTCATAAATAATAAGCAAAAATCAGACTTTATCAGCTATAGTCTTGTTGTTTGAATAGTTCCAATAGTATAGGACCATGGAGAGTCTGGTCATTCTCCCTGATGCCAATGGTGATCGATGTGATTGATCATGTCCTTTGCTTTTAACAAATTTCAATTCAGTGCACATAACATATTCTCCACCACCATTTCACTGAAGAGCTATCTGGTTAAGTTAAAGCTCATAGTTACTCAGCATATTAGACAGAAAATGTTTTTCAGCATTTGGGAAGTAAGAATATTCTAGAGTAGACATTGCCCAAGCACACAGAAAGATACACACCAAAGGTGTGACTTATGTCATTAGATGATCCTTTTCTACAAGTACAGTAGACTCTTCCTATCCATGAACACAGGGTTTTGGAGTACAGTGTTGTACTTTGTTCTGTTTTTCACACAATGTGTTTCAACTTCCATTTAAATTAAGCACATTCACTTTTTTTTTTTTTTTACGCACTAGCTTTGAACTCAGGGCTTCTCATTCACTACTAGTAAGATACTCCACCATTTGAACCGCAACTCTAAGCCCTTTTGACTGTAGTTATTCTTGAGATAATTCTCATTTATTTGCCCCTTATTGTAGAGATGCTCTTACTACTAAGTTTCCTGCCGTGCCTGGGCTGACAAGAGCAAGTCATCATGCCCAAGTTTTTCTGTTGAGATACACTGTTGTCTATTTGGTCTCGCTTGGCCTAAAATCATGATCCCTCTGATTTCAACCTCCTGTATAGCTATTGACAAGATGGGTTCTTGCAAGTTTTCTGTTCAATTGGACTTCTTCCCAGTGTCTACCTCCCTGGTAACTGGGATTTATAGTGAGCACAGGCTGGTCTAAGCATATTAACTTTTAGTGCATTCTTTGCTTTGGAGGAGGTCTGTTTTCACAAATCAAGGGCAAAGAAACATCCAACAAATCACAAAGACTTTAAGCTCAATTAGTGATCACACTGGACTGAGGGCGTCTGGGCACTAAAGGAATGTAAAGGTTTGGGCATTGACATTTACTTTGACTTTTTTGTTTATTAAATTATTTTAGCTGTAGTTGGTCAAAACATCTGCAATAAATTAATAAGTGTCTTACTGTTTTCTAAGCAATGATTTTCAAACTTCATTGACTTAATTCATTTCAGATCCCTAAGAAATGAGCATGGAAACAACCATGCAACAACCTATGTTTCTTTCCCTCATTTATTGTAACTAGTAAATACATTGGATGGTAAAAGATTAAAAAAAATATACTTGGACCTGATAAATTATACAGGACACTAGACATTCACACAGTGAGACCAAAGGAGGATATTCTTAGGAGAGGATCATTAATAGATATATGCATATGATGATATAAAATTATATTTATCGAAATGAACTCCAGCAAATGGAAACGAGGGGTTTTTGTTGTTGTTATTTTGCCTGTTTCCCCTTTGCCACCGTTTCTGCTTTGTGTACCCTTTGTCTTGTAAATAAATTTATCCATTCTGGGCAAGGTAAAAGGGAGTAGGGAAACAATGGGACAAAGGGTGCACAAACACTGCATTGATACTAGATACTATGTTGAAAATGGACTTTACAACTTGTGGGGGAGAGGTCAGGAGGGGAAAACTGGGAGAAAATGAAGCAAGAGGTGATAGATACTGTTCAAACAGAAATGTACTCATTGCCTGACTTAAGTAACTCTATGTCTCCTTTACAATAACAATTTCAAAAAAGAAATGTGTAGGGATGTTCTCTTTAGTAGGTGAGGTTCTTTGAGTGGCATTATTTTCTAACTCTAGGCTTCCCCACCTTATATTGGATATGAATGACATACAGAGCTTGTTAACTTGTGAAACATATAGATTTAAAAATTATATATTTATTATATTTAAATAGCTATACAAAGGAGTTACCCATCAACCAATTAGTTCATTAGAATAATGCATCTTGATTAATGGCACCCCTTTCATTATTTTCTCAATCCATCTCCTCCAACATACCTCTTCTCTCAGTTTTCTTTCTTACATAGAATATGCATTTCCCCTGAAACTAAGCTCATCTCCTATGAAATGTTTCTTCATAGGTTTAATAGGTCAAACTCAGGCATCTCCAGTGTAATGGTCTCTCAGTATTTCCCCACTAGCAACACACACACACACACACACACACACACACACACGTCAAGGTATTCTACAGACCTCTATACATAAACATCTATGGCAGGCAGTCATGTTTCCTAGATCCAGTGTTTGATGCTATTTCTAGTACAGACTCTGGATACCAAAAAACCATTTTGTTGAGGACCTATCAATATTGTAAAGATAATGGTGTGGAATTTTTAATATATGACTGTCCGAAGAAGTCTAGGGTGAATAATCGCCATGTCATTATTCTGCAGACTACTTTCTTGCACTGGGGGACAAAAAGCATATGATAAGATTATGAAAATCTGGACTGGCATAAAATTAATTTAGGTAATGAAATATTTAAGACTGGAGTAAAAATAACCTTCCAGAATACTTCAGTCTCCCTAATTATCCTTGAACTTTAAATCTTCATGAAGACAGTCTCAGACTGACTCTGAGGGACTGACTGTAGCAGCCAAGAACTTTGAGTGAACAGATGTGGGCTGAAAATCTGTGAAAATCTATGAAAGTCGCATTTACTTGTTGTTTTTTTTTATCACCTTAGACAAGTTATTTAACTTCTCAAGGTCTGTATCTTCTCTACGTCACCTTACTCTCACAGTTTAGCTCTCTTCCAACACAGATATTTTTACCACTTACATTAAAAAGACTGAGATCTGAGGAATTCTAAAAAGTTGTTTTTATAGTCATAATATTCAAGGGACATATGTGAAAAAGAAGCTAGGTAAATTGAGGGGTCAGGTGGGGTTGGGAGAGATGGGAAAGAACAATGAAATGATGACATTAATCAAAATGCGTTGTACCCATAAACTGACATGTTAAATTATAACCCCTTTGTACAACTTAAGGAGAATACAAATAAAGAAATAAATAGAAAAAATGGCTACAGAACATCCATCTTTCTATTCAAACGCTCCATTTTATTTTGTGTGTATGCTAGTTTTGAGGCTTCAAGTCTTGGGTTGCTGAGCTTTCTTTTTTCTCAAGGCTGGCATTTAACCCCTTGAGCCACAGCTTCACTTCTAGCTTTTTGTGATTAATTGGACATAAGAAGAGTATCATGGACTTTCCTGCCTAGGCTGGCTTCAAGCTGCATTTCTCAGATCTTAGCCTCCTCTCTTGAGTAGCTAGGATGACAGGTGTGAGCCACTGGTGCCTAGCATAATCAAATTATTTTAATTCAATTGCTCTCAGTATGTTTCTTTGAGGACCTTAAATGCAAGAATCCAAACCTGAACTCATAACCTCTTGTATTATCCCTGCCCCATCTTCCCTCCCCACCCACTGTACATAGTGGGTATACATACCAAGTCTTCAAGGTCAGAGATGAAGAAGTCACTTAGCCCCTTCCACAGCTAGTCCAGTCCTCAAGATGGTCTCTTTACCTCTTCATGGTCCATTTCTTTCCATTTTTGCTAGCACCCCAGGAACTCAGTGTGTTTATGTTTGTCTCTGTCTATTCCAGTCCTCACAGAATATCAGAACACAGATCCAATGCTATCACCCCTTGTAGTATTTTGTCATGCTCTCAGGCTAAAGAACACTTTTCACCATGATGTATCAGGCCACTAAAACTATCAGTCCATCCAGCTTCAAGCTGTCGTTCCTCTGTCTCTTCCTCCCAGGCATTAAACTTTGTGAGGCTACAGGGTATATTTTACTCACTTTTACCAGCTGTTCTATAAGCAGATATAACTAAGTGATAAATGACGAGGGAAAAATGGTATAGTACCTTCCATATTTCCTAGATTCTGTGTGAATATTAGTTTAACAAGGCCTTCAGGATCCTCTGACTGGCCTTAACTCTTAGACAGCAGGGGAGGAGCTAAGGCCCAGAGATGGAGGAAGTTGCATAAGTATCTCATCGTAGGCCCTGACCTGAGATTTAGAGTAATCTTTCCCAATCCAGTATCTTATCTATCCTTTTTGTCATGAGGTTTCTGCCACGCTATCTGCCCACTAAGTGATCATTCTATTATCCTTCATCATAGCTGTGTCTTCGTTGTGCTCATGCTCTGAGTGGCAAACTAATTAATACTGTTGTTCTTAATGGGGAAGACGGGCCATTTTTTAGTCCTAGGTAAGAAAAGCATAAAGATTATCAAGAATTCCAAGTTTAGGAATGGGCT